GGGGGGGGGGGGGGGAAACAATAAATTCTCACAATTTTTTCCTAAAAAATCACTCAATTTCTCAATCCATCTCTCATTCTCTCATTCTCTCAATTTATCAATTTATCAATCTCTCAATCTTATTATCTCTTTTTAATCTTTATACATTTAATATTCATATAATAATAGAAAATTTTTATACATTAAAATTTTGAAATTTTCGAAATTTTAATCTATAAAATTTCGAAATTTTTTCAAAATCTTCGAAATTTAAAATATTATTAATTTTTAAATATATTCTTTAATCTTTAAATAATTTAAATATATTTTCTATTTTTTAAAAAATTTCGAAATTTTAATATATAAAATTTCGAATTTTTTTAAAAGTTTCGAAATTTAATATATTATTTTTTTTATATCAAAAAATATATATATTAAAATGTCGAGAGAGTCCGGTAGAAGGTCCGTGGATATGGGCGTCGTGAACCAAAGTTCGAGGAAAGGCAAAGCTAAAGCCACCTCTGACGGTTCGACCTCACGCGTTTCTCGAGGAAGACACTCCGTCTCTTCCTTTCCTACTATCCCCGATCACTTAATCGGGGACGCTATGACGGATGAAGAATTCGACCATATTTATTCTGGTAGAGGGGACGCAAATCTCCCCACTCTTGATAGTGTATTCGAAGATCTTGATGAAGCAAATCTGGATAATCTGGACGGGGACGAGGAGCCTACACCGCAGAGCAACGACGTCGACGTGGAGGCAGGTGAGCCCGCGACCTCTCGAGGTCCGGATAAAGGTAAAAAAAAATATAAATCAGAGTTATTTGTTTATAATTTTGACAAAGAAACAAAAGATGGCGTAGTTTATGGAACTTGTAAACATTGTGGGACCGTCATAAAAATGGGAGTCTCCGGCGGTTATGGCGGTCCAGAAAAACACCTAAGGTCGAGGCATCCCGTGGAGTTTGCCAAATACGAGGCAAAAAAGAAGGGAGGACAAGAAGTGCAAACCCAAATTTCTCGGTTTGCTAACAGAGGTAAGGGCGGCCTTTTTGCTTATAGCGACGAACAAAATAAGCAAAAAATGGCCGAAATGATTTGTGAAGAAAATTTTCCATACATGTTTTCTGAAAAACTTGGATTTATTGATTATTGTCAACAGGCATTAAACCCTCAAGCACGAGGTTTTTCAAGAAAAACAATTAAACGAGAAATTATTCGTCAGTATAAAACTGGAAAAATAAATTTGGCAAATTTTTTTCTCAATTTTAATTCTCGTGTTGCTATTTGTTCTGATATTTGGAGTGAAACTT